CATGCTTTTGAACAAATGCCTTTAGAATCATAGAAGGAATTCCGGTATAGCAAACTAATACTTGGTGAGAATAAACGCTACAAACGAAATGCACTTTGAATGCAGTCTTAAATGTATTGCTCGACATATCGACGGAGTTTGTCATGACCCTCCATACCTCTGATAGAATCAAGGTGAAGTAAAGAGAATAGTCGATATAAGATCTGCTATCACAAATCACACAAACTTGAGATCTTTATGGCGGAAAAATAAGACAAGATAATAGTATCTGGATGCGTAAATTATGTCATACACCATATTCACTCAAGAAAAACCAGCCTTCTTTGTCCTGGACATCTTATCAATACTCTTTTGGACTTGTCGGTGTATACCTCAGGAATATATTCAAATTTTGCGCTAAAATAGTTGGTACTATCAGTACTACGAAAGTGAAAGATATTTGCCAAGCTATTCACTCACTCTGGAGGTATCTCCAGTGTTTTCTGAGAAGGATAGAACATTTCTGATGTATCGCGTAAGTACCAGCCATAATTCTTCTTCTGAAAGTGAGTTTTACATAATATCTTAGAAATAGGAAAGAAAACATACCGTAGCCTTTTCTTGTTCTATAATTGTTCCAGCTGGCAGATCTGTATATTCTATCGAGGCTAAACAGCGGCGATTTGCGCACTCAAGAAGTCGTTTCCCCGTTCCTTCGATATTCACTACCCGAAGGCGGCTGGCCTTACACTGCCAGCAACGCGCAGGCATGGCATCCTGAAAAGTCTCCAATAGGCGCTTTGAGAGCAGGGAGATAAGCTTATCCAAAATAAGTTTAAATCCACACAAAGATAGTGTTAAACTCACTGAGTCACTAGCTTGTACTTTTACTGGGAGTGGATCAACATCCATAGGCACATCTGAACATTAAGTTCATATTTGAATAGTAGGCTGATATGAATTACTTCCTAAGTTTATCATACCAGACTGTTTTTTAGATTCTTGTGGCTGATTTTCTTCCGTCTGTTTCGCCATATTATAGATAGTAGCAGGGTTCATCTCAATAACAATTTCTTCCGGGCCTACCACAAACTGGAGAGGTTCCATAAAGGACTGCAAAGGATGATAAAAATTCTGCTAATAAGAAAACTTGAGCGATAGTTTCTTGTTGAAAACAAGTAAAGTCAGACATCATATTCATCTCTAACAAAATTGCATTTCCAACACAATTGAAAGCATATTGAACTTAAAAATCGAGATGATAGCACCTTAGAACCCAATTTAAAAATGCTATGCTGATGCTGACATACTAATATCACAAATATACAGAAAGAAATTGTACGCTTCAATAATATTGTCTTCATAATGCAATTCAATCCAAGCAGCAATTAAACATTAGGACAAAGATTGCTATCTTTTTCATCCGAAACTACCGCAGCTGGCTTTATGAGATACTGATCGTAAATACCATCCTTAAAGATGTCTTCAGGTGCAATTCTGGCATGCTCCTATAAAATAAGATGGGAATCAAACAGCTGCTGCCACCAGTGCATAACAAAAATAAAAATAACGTAATGCGTTAACCTTTATAAAGTCAATAGCAGCTTTTTCATTCACAGAACTCATTCCCATCATGGCTCCCCATGATACTAAAGCGATTGGCTAAAAGAAGATAAGCACACTAAGCAAAATTTTAACTGGAATGTGAGATAAGACTGAATTGCAATATAAAACCTACCCTCTCTTGGTTCAGCTTGCTGTAAGGCGTGATTATATGCCGATATAAACAATTCGTTACAATGTGGCGAAGCTTTTCCACTTCACTTTGCTCAGCACAAGGGTGATATAGAAGGATTATAGAACCATGCTAAAAGTGTAAG